ATTAGCTGGGCATGGTGGCGCGTGCCTGTAATCCCAGCTACTGAGGAGGTTGAGGCAGGAGAATTGCCCGAACCCAGGAGGCGGAGGTTGCGGTGAGCCGAGATTGCGCCATTGCACTCCAGCCTGGGTAACAAGAGTGAAACTCCGTCTCAAAAAATAAATAAATAAATTAAATTAAATAAAATAATAAAAATAAATAAATAAATAAAAGAGATTTATCAGCTAGTTATTAAGTAAAGAAATATCACAATAGGCCGGGTGCAGTGGCTCATGCCTGTAATCCCAGCACTTTGGGAGGCTGAGGTGCATGGATCATCTGAGGTCAGGAGTTTGAGACCAGCCTGACCAACCTGGTAAAACCCCATCTCTACTACAAATACACTAAGCCAGGCATAGTGGCACGTGCCTGTAGTCCCAGCTACTTGGGAGGCTGAGGCATGAGAATTGCTTGAATCCAGGAGGCAGAGGTTGCAGTGAGCCGAAATTGCACCACTGTACTCCAGCCTGGGCAACAGAGTGAGACTGTCACGCACACAAAAAAAGAAAGAACTATCACTATAGGCCAGACGCTGTGGCTCATGCCTGTAATCTCAACACTTTGGGAGGCCAAGGCAAGTTCACCTGAGGTCAGGAGCTCAAGACCAGTCTGGCCAACACTACAAAACCTGTCTCTACTAAAATACAAAAATTAGCCAGGCGTAGTGGTGGGCACCTGTAATCCCAGCTACTCGGGAGGCTGAGGAAGGAGAATCACTTGAACCTGGGAGACGGAGGTTGCAGTGAGCCGAGATCACACCACTGCACTCCAGCCTGGGCAACAGAGCAAGACTGTCTCAAAAAAAAAAAAACAATCAATCACATAAATCCTAGGGTAAAGATGGGGGTACAGAAAACAGAACAAAAACAACTGTTTCCTTTTCCTGTGATTCAAGGTGAGCTTAGGTCTATTCAGCATCCTGTTCTAATGCCCTCCATGGTTCTCACCAGCTCCAACATTTCCCTTTTCATAGCGTATTTTGTAATGCCTCCTTAACTATCCCTTACTAAGAAGCCATCGCTGATAATCTACCTACACTCATCCTTACAGAAGCATCAATATAATGCCCCAAATGTACTATTTCAGGAATGTACTATTTAAAGGAAAATAATTTCCAATAAAGTGACTGTCAGATGCTTGCACTGACAGAATCGCCATGCATCTGGCAGGCTGGCTGGCACATGGGCACAGTGATTGTCAGCTCCAATGCCACCAGCAGCAGTGCCCTCAGTAATGGGACTTCCCACAACAGTAAACGTATCTGTCCTTGATTTACAAGTACCTACATTCCTAGGAAATCCAGGGGACATTAAAACACCATGTTACCCAGGCTGGCCTCAAACTCCAGGCCTCAAGCAATCCTCCCACATCAGCTTCCCAGAGTTTTGGGATTACAGGCATGAGCCACCACACCCAGCCAAAATATTTTCCTTATTTCTGTGAAACACACAGAGCTTTCGTTGACTCATCTGGCTGTTGGTATTGGTATTCTGTGCTTGAATCGAACCCACCAAGAGGCTGTACTGGATAGGATAATGCAAAAAGTACTGTGGATTTGGGACTGAGACAAACCAGATTGAGTCTAACCTCTTAGTCAAAGCCCCAAGCTTGAAAGGGTTAAATGAAGTATTATGTTTTGTTTTGTTGTTTGAGACCTCACTCTTCCTCAGGCTAGAGTGCAGTGGCACAATCTCGGCTCACTGCAACCTCCATCTTCCAGGTTCAAGTGATTTTCTTGCCTCAGCCTCCAGAGTAGCTGTGATTACAGGTGCCCGCCACCATGCCCGGCTAATTTTTTTTTTTTTAATGTATTTTTAGTAGACACAGGGTTTCACCATGTTGGCCGGGCTGGTCCCAAACTCCTGACCTCAAGTGATCCACCTGCCATGGGCTCCTAACGTGCTGTGATTACAGGTGCTGAGTCACCATGCCCAGCCTAAATGAACCAACCAAATTGGGGAACATAACAAGGCCCCATCTCTACAAAAATTTTTAAAAAATTAGCTGGGTGTGGCACACTCCTGTAATCCTAGATTCTCAGGCGGCTAAGGCGAAGGATCACTTGAGCCCAGGAGTTCGAGGCTGCAATGAGCTATGATCGTGCCACTGTACTCCACCCTGGGTGGCAGAGTGAGGCCCGGTCTCAAAATAAATAATCCAGTCCCCCCAGTAAAGGAATGAAGTACTGTAATGAGAAAGATCATAGTACTTACCATATAGTAGACAGTGGAGAGTGGTTCTCTTTCATTTCCCAGGGGCAGACAGCTGGGGTGCAGGAGTCCTCTATCAAAGAGTCAGTAAGGCAAAGACCTTAGTCTGCAAACTCTAGCCCAGATGTGTAATGAATGTGGTCACAAACTTAGTGCCCCAGTACCACTTACCTTCCCTATAACC